GGGGGGGGGGGGGGGGGGAGGCGAAACAAGCAAACCACTACGCGGTAATGCCTTAGATCCTGTGTTAGCTTGCTATAATACGGAGAAGAAACACTTTTTTTGTGACGGGTGGGCTCCACTGAAGTTTTTTTCTTTAAAAATAGAGGGGGAGACCGCTGGAATGGGGAAAAGGGGAGGGCACTGATTTTCTGATCGGGAAAGATAGAGGCCCGCTTTTTATGTATGTATAGCGCATGTATTCACTACTCTATATTATAGCACGTCCTATATGTGCGCTATATGACCAGTGGCGAAGCCAAGAAATTCATCTTGGGTGTTCAAAATTGAATGAAGTAAAAAAAATTCCGATAAAGGGTGTTTAATATATGTTATATATAACTAAAATCTAATATTTTACCTATATATACAGTGTAATTTTTCGACGAAGGCTAGTTGATTGACCACCCTTAGTGTTATGTAGCTTCGCCCATGTATACGGCCCGCATTTTTTTTGTTCAAGTAAAGCGTGGTTATTCACCTTGCTATACCTTAACAGACAAATGTGTCGTTAAGGTATAGCGCAATAAATACCCACGCTATATATAAAATGGTACCCAATTTTTTTTTTACCTATTTGCGTCGCTTGAGCTCAAAAGAACCATACTTTAATTCCGGACTCGGGAAAAGGCCACCATAATCGTGGACCACACTTTTTTACGGTTTCTATGTAGGGTCGAATGAGAAACGAGGATTCCTTCCTAGTCATTATTATAAATGTATATTTTTTTTGGTTTTCTATCCGGTGTCCGGTATCTGCATTGGAGCCTGATTATATCCGAATTCGTATCGCATAGGGCCCCATTTGCTTTACCAACACAAGTATCGGATAACTATGTCCACAAGTCTTATTCATAATAAAAAAGAAATCATACAATAATTTTTATTTATTTATACTAATATTTGAACTCTAATCTCATGATTTTCATCTATTTAATTAATTGTAAGACAATTTTGTCACTTCCTGAAGTAGTCCAAATTTGAATAGGCTTTAGCTTGTAAAGCATAGAATATCAATATTCTTGTTTTATCCTTCAGTAACAAACTACAACACTANTATATATATATATATTTTAAAAGCACGAAGGCTCTTAGCGAAATGTCGTTCGCCTGTTTTATCCTTTAAAATAGATTTCACATTGGATAAAATCGTAATTTATTTATTCTCTACTCCTAATATTTAGGATTTAAAATCAACTAAAATTTTACATATTAAATAATTTCCTTATTTGAACTACTATTTAAAAAGTCCTACAATATTTAGGATGTTATAATCAATTAGAAATTACCTTATAGAGCTACGTGGTAAAATATATAGTAATTAAGTAATATATAAAACTAACTACGAAACTCATATACATATACTTTCCGGAAGGTGAGGAATCCAAAAGAGTTGAAAGAATCGAATTCAATTTGACATTGATTTTGTCATTAATTTAGGTCGTGTACATTTTTCTTTTATCTTTTTTATTTTAGAAAATAAGTTGAGCACAAGTTTTATGTAAGACTTTTATGAGGAAATAGGTAATAAATAATAGTAATTGATGTCGAGCATTTTTTTTTATTTTATATAAATAAAAGTGTATATCGTCTATCCTTCCCAAACTGAAGGTGGAACTAGAATTCCAGTAGAATGCCTCTTCTAGGAGGGCCGAAAGAACTGACTAAAAAATTATTACTGTAAGTTTTGATATTGTTACTTATAATTCCAGTACAATAACTCTATTCTTTTAGGATGGCTCGAAGAATTTACTTAAATATTTTGAAATAAACTAATAATATTAATATGTAAAATTTGTAATGAATCTAAAGTTTCTACACTTTGATCATTCCGTGTGTTGAAATTCAACAGCCACTAGCTAACTCTTCGAGTCAACATCATATATCTTAATTAAATCAGTAAAATTGATGCTCACAAGGGATTATAATGTTGTGTGCTTAGGAATTATAATTTAAACTTATCCCAAATATTAGTTGTTTAGGAGTTCTCTGCGTCAAGATAAACATGAGAGTTTTACTACACGTGAACTTCCTATTTTGTTTCTTTTGCGTGAATCTATCTATTTATTTAAAACTATATTTTGAGTCTTTGTATCTAAAAAAAAAATCATTTGAGGTCCAGTAGGGAAGGATAATGATGATATTTTGCCTAGAATTTTATTTTTGGGTCTTTTTTAACCAGAATGTGCATGGCGGATCTAGCCTATTGCTCTTCGATCGCTCTTCTCTTCGTACTCAATGTTTCAGTGCTAACCCTTTTTAACAAGCTTATAATTTTTACGAATATACATCAACTATAGCAATCAAAAATTTTGTGATCTAAATCTTTTGGATCACAATTTGTATATTTCTTTTCTTTTGTATTTCTACACTTATATGTTCCCATGTTTTTTAAAACCAAACTATAGCTGTTGGTTTCAAATTTTTGCAATAGTAACTTATTCTTTTAAAATTTATTGAAAATAATTCATATCGTATTACTTATTGCTTAAAGAAATGAAATAATCTGCATTTTGCTCACGACAAAGAAAAAAAGATCTTGTCTTTTGTCATTTTGCTGACCTTATCGTATTACTTTTTACCTTGCTTTTTTGAGTTAGCTATAGAGGATCAATATTTATTAATTTCAGGAATTTATATTTTTATTTATAACTCAAGCACAGTTTTTAATATATTATTATATATTGCTTAAAAAAATACTCATGAATATGAAATGTACGTGCAACGCGCGTATCCTAAAACTAGTGTAATAAAATAAGAATAATGCCGAAGTTAATTAGTTTGAGATTTGCCCTGCATCTTTCTGTTTCTCTCTGCTAACTGTGTGGAGTGCGGGCGGCTAATAAAGTCGAAATCAGGATTTGAACATTATTAGTTGAGTGTGAAGTTCTACCATAACTCATTGATTTATTGATCGATATTTATTATTTGTACTTCCTTATTTAGTGGTTTTTTTAAAACAAATATAATGAGTCTGAGCCAAACTTAGTGGATTGGATGAACTTGTATGTTAACTCAGGCTGCTAAGGTTTACTTATATTTTTGAGAATAATAGACTAGGGAATGACAGGGTACGTTAACTGGTTTATTACTTGGATAATAGTATTCGATACATGTTTAGCATCAATTAATTGAAGATCCTTCACGAATGTGTTACCCTTTCGATTCGATACATTCATAAACAAAAGAGGTTAACCATAATCAACGGCTAAAAGCTGGGAACTACTTTCGATTGAGGCCACTATAGAGAGTTTTCTGGACAACACCTAATATCCTTCCAATATACAAGATATGTATTTTCACATTTGTAAGACACTGCCTAAAATAACTACTTTATGATCCCCGCTGCTTCTCCCGACACAACTTCAAGGTGCTACTCTTTCGATTGGCTTCGACTCCAGGTCACTTGTTGCCCTAATTTCATCATTAGACTAAGGCATCTCTTGAATTGCATTCTCCTTTTCGATGGATGCCATCACAGTTGCAAGCTGCAACTCAAACATAATAGCAATCAGATTTACTCATCGACAACAACTAAAAATATGATATTCCAGTTCACTTTCCATGATAGGTTATGTCAAGTTACCTGTTCCTCCAATTCTTGTATCTTCTCATCCTTTATTTTCAACTTCCTCTTCTCCCTAAAAATTAGATGTTAGAAGATACAATATGATATTACATGAGAGCAGCAGCATGATATATTTTGACAAGATTAGGAAGTAATTTAGCAATTCTGGGATAATATGAAGGCCAATATGTACGTCAAGATGGTCTAAGAAAGAGATCATCCATTACATGAACAACACTAACTCTAAAAGACAAAAAACCTCTGCCAAAGGCTGAGTGAAGCTTTTCCTCATAATAAAACCACAATGCATAAAGTACATCAACTTTGCAAGCAAACCAAATCATTGCTACAATTTTACACTAGGGGCAGATTCTTTTCTCCTTGAACCAGATCCATGAGATGCAGTTAACGCAGCAACAAAAACAAGTTCATCAAAATCAATACTTATCTGAAAGAAGCAATTCTTGTAAAAATTATTAAAGCCTCTTGTCAAATGGCAAGAGGTAAATTTTTTTGAGAGAATGACAACATGCCTGACGCCTCTGCAGGATTTGGAACATTGAGAGAATATGGTTATTTGATAAGAAAGAAACTACAAAAGCTTCATGGAGTTTATTTCTTATTATTATTATTATTATTATCATAGACGATCATGATGAAGCAACATGCACAATGACAGTTGATGATCAATTGGTACAAAATTGCAGTTCTTGTGATATACCTGTGCTCAAAGTTTGAAAATTATAGCACTTTTGCAGAAAATAAAATGACAAACATTTAAAGAAAAGCAGGTTGGTCGGATGGAAGAGTTCTGAGAAAATAATTGCCTACCACTGCCTCAGAGTGATGACACAACAACCAAGGAAAAGAATGATACCTTTCTTCAATCTCTGATATCTTGGCTTCCCATATCTCCTTGTTTCTGGTAAGATTGTCATTGATCTAGAGGGCTCAACACCAAACAATTCAAGTTCAAAATCAGGATAAATCAAATGGCTGTAAAAGGGAATACAGAGCTAAATAATGATAAACTGGTAACAGCTCAGAGATCAATAACAGTCAATAGACTTCAATAGAACTCACATCATCAAGAAATTTCTTCTCTTCAATGCATTTGTCCAAACGCACTTTTAACTTCATCAACCTTGGAGTCTGACATAGTGCTTTCTCAACAGCTTCCTTAATTTCCCTATCAGTTTCTTCTTCAACCCCTTGCAGTAAGGACTCGAAGTACTATTATCAAAGCAAAAGCTGTTAATACGGTAAATAGAATGTCATTGTCCTAAATTGCTGATCAATATCTCTGCATTCAAATGAATAAACTTGAAAGCACTGGAGACATTCAGATTAACAAACAAAGGAAATCTTACAATCTAGCTAAAAGGTAAGAAGCTTAACCATTTTTTGGTTCTCCAATTGCGAAGTCAAGAGCTCATTGTACTCGTTCACAATCTGCAGTTAGAAAATTTGAAGATTACCAAGTATTCCCAGATCAAGTAATGACCAAAGTCATTCAAAGATTAAGCATTTGACTAGATGAATAAGAGTAAAAAAGAAAAAAAAACATTTGTAAATGAAGAGAGAGACATACAGCTTCAACTTTGCTGTTTACAAGAGTCTCACTAAATCCAGGATCTGTAGCACATTCGCAGCTGCAGCAGCCATCATTATCATGATGACAATGGTGGTTGAGCTCAACCAACTTGCCATCAGTTTTAGACTGAATCAAACGGTGAACATAGTTGTCCCCTGAGTAGTCCCAGACACGACGCGTTTCCAGTTCAAGTGCATAGCAATGTTGTGTCTCTTTCCAGTGCCTTATAGCATGAGCTTCTTTGTATCTATAGCAAAATCAACATGATGAACATCAATTACTAAAACCTATACTTACCCAGCAGTGAAAAGATCATTCATCTTTTAGTTCTTCAAAATTGTTTTGGGATAACATCAGCCTTCACATCAATTTAGTCAAATACCAAGAGAGATAGTATTATTACCTTCCACACCCAACAAAACCACAAATAACACACATCCATAGATTTTCTGGTGATTGACAGATAGAACACGTTGAGTTTCCAGGCTGCTGCTGGCAGTATCGACATACCTGAGAGAACATGATTAAGTTGAATCAGCTCATTTCTATTAGTACTTCACATGAAAAACATATTTTCGAACTAACACTGGTATATGATATCTAAAAGCCAGCCTAACTCTCAGTACACTAAATAAGGAAAAGAATTCTTCCTTCACTGTTAATCAGGCTGATAAACCCTACTTATACTGTTTTCAGCTATCGGATATATATATTTTTTCAAGTCCATGAGATTTTTCTTCACTAAGCATCAGGGGTATATAATCTCCTCAAACGGTCTAACTTAATCTGATCAGGTGATTGATGATTTACCAAATAACTTCCCGAATATAAGAAAGTCATTGTAACTTGTAAAAGAACGAAAACTCTTGCAACTTTGAGAACCTTACTGTAGTGCCAATTTAATCAAAATTCAACCCTAATATAAGCCACACTTGCTTCAGAGTTCATTGCTAATTTGAAGAGGAAGAAACAACCTATGTTAAGAATACGCACCAATCCAGGCAATTGATACCAGATATAAGTGAGAAAAATGCTGAAAACCATTTCTCTTAGCCAAAGTTATACGAAGAAGCACCCAAGGATGTGGCTAGAAATCAAATCCAAGCAGAGACAGAAAAAGCCAGGGAATCTCTTCCCATCTGTCTACGCCTCGGAGGGAAAAGTAACCCGATATCTATGCTGGTAAAAGATAGCAAGTAAATGGTGGAATACTCCAAATACGCACAAGCTGGCCTAAGTGCAAACACAGAAATTTTCGGGCTCTTTTTTAACTTGTGTTTAGATAATTAACATTAATTACAAATGTGTCCCTCCTACCTATTAATTAAAACTTGTGTCTCTTTTCCTCTATTTTAAGACTCAAAAGTACTTGACATAAATTCCCGAGAAACTTACGTGCAATAGAAAACTAAAATTGCACATGCACACACAAAGCAAATTGTGAAGTGGACCTAATTTCATCTTGAAAAGGCTGCAGAAGGCCATATTTTAAAAAATTTAAGACAGAAAACTCAAGCAAACAAGTGCGGTAATTAAAGACATAAAAATGCAGATAAGGAACTACCTCAAGCTAAGCAATTATTCAACCAGAACAATGGATGTTAGAAGCAAATATTACTGACGACATGGCAATGTGACAATACGGTAATGCAAACATTAGTAAGAGACTTAGTTAACAATATCAATAACAGCATGATACTTACTTACAGGTTGGATTAAATCTAAAAGCCTGATACAAACAGCTGTATAAGTTATGGTCCATGACATTTACATGAATATGAATAATAGAGCATCAAGACCAGTTCAGAGACCATGTCTAAGTTGAAGCTCAAACGTATGGTGGAAAGATAGAAGGTATTACTTACAGGGCACGAAGAATCTGTCCATTTAGAAATACATGAACAATGAAACGAATGATTACAAATGGTTGTGAGAATTCCACTTGTATCCTGGTCCAGTCTCTCTGCAAATTGCATAGGAATTAAGATACATATGAGAGGAAACTCGCCAATATAATCCAGCTAAACATTGGATATCTCAGGCTGCACATCCTCATAAAATACCAAAGTCCAAACTAATCTATAAGGTTAAACTCAAAACAGTATTAACAAGGACTTCTCCAGTATCTTGAATTTCCAGTATGCTAAATGAAGGCAAACAGATTAGTTAGCATTCCATTTATTGAAGCGGTGGCCAGAAACTTCTGTAATAAACTGATTCAAATTTTTTAAATAATAACTGAAATTTAGGATTGAAAAATCCAAGAGGAAGCATAGAGGTGGCACAAGAGTTATGTTGAAGACATAATTAAGTAAATAAAAGTGTATTCTCCCCAACAACTTAAGCGATGAGATGGTCACACACTTCAATATGGTATCAGAGAAGGCAGACGTCCTGGGTTTGAGTCTCACCGCCACCCAATATCAAAAAGAATTTTCACGTGCTTGACTCATCAAGAAGAATCAAGCCCGCACGTGAAGGGGCGTTTTGAATACATAATTAAGTAAATAAAAGTGTGTTCTCTCTAACAGCTTAAGCTTTTAGATGAAATGGTCACACTCAACAAGTTATATCCAGATTCCCCATGGACGACGGACTTCAATTTTCTATCAAGTGACTCGAATCACTCGTAAATGCTTTGAGACGAAAAACTTTTAACTATAATGGATCATCTAGCTTCATCATATAATTAGCCAAAACTCATTGATCTGGTAAATGTAGTTTAAAGTGACAAGTAACTTTCTGTTCAGCAGACTAGCGGTTGTTTATGTATCACATGAAGCATACAAGATATATAGACACACTAGTACGCATGCACGCACACACTAGTATGCACACATATATAACCTACGACTTCTTGGAGTTCAGCCTCTGTTCAAAGTTACAAAAATATATTACACCACCAGGTCACATGTTTGACACCAACTCATTTTATTTTTATTTAATTTAAATTCAAAACACTCATATTGTTTGATACCATTGTCCGACCACCCACTTCAGTTTGGTATCCAGTTTGTTTTCTAAGAGTTAAGTTAGGGTTACTTAATTAAATAAGTAAATCCAGTAGAAAGATTTCAGAATTCATTTGTAAAGAATGATGGAATGATGCAAGGATTGTGACTACACCATCCAACATAATTCAAGTAAGGCCAGACGTGGTTGATGGCCTGACTAGTAAGTTCATGAGCAGTTTGGTCCACCATGATATCATAATGATACTTTTTGTGCAAGAAGGCTACAACCTTGAGAACAGAGGATCCGATTTAGTGTTACTGGGACAGAGGCATTATCAGCTAATTGAGCACCCCAAGGCATATCAGTTTAGGGACCCAAGACTTTGTAAGTTTTTAAATGAAGTCCAAGCTGTAAGAGTATATTCAATCCTAGAAACATGGTATAATGAGATTCGGTAACTGATTGTGCATACACGAGATGTATGCTTTTGGTAAATGAACGCAGCTTGCAAAGGAACACTAGATTTCATTAAAATGCTTGCAAGAGCAATCTGGCATGCGTCTACCATATATGAATAGATAGTTTCCTTTTTTTATCAGTGTATATGAATAAATAGTTACTTTAGGACATTTCAAATCGTAAGTGCCATGAATCTGAGTTACAAGGAAACGTAATATAAGAAATTGCTTGCAAATGTTAAACTTTTAAATTTGGAGGTTAAAATGGACGTTACAAACATTTTGGAGGAAAGTGAACGAATGAAGATGAACATCTCTAACATTTTGGAGTGAATCTCACTTTAGATGTGCTTAGTGGTTGAATAAGGAAGTTACAAATTTCAAAATATGCCATTTCCAAAATAGATTTGAACATTTTGAAACTAGATTAGGAAAAATACCAAGACAAACAGGACAGAATGGTTGCTCTGTAGAGCTTGCAGGTATGGACTGGGTGCGTTCAATTGAACCAGTGTAATGAACATCGGCAGCAAAAAACACATTGCAGGTCTCGTCCTGCAAGCAAAGAAACAAAAACAAGAATGGAGTATGAAACTGGAATTTGATGTTATGAGATACTTATTCTGATGCCAAAGCAGGAGAGAACTATTGGAGCAATCATACCTCAAGAGATGAAAATTTTCTACCACTAAAATGCTTGTGAAAAGTGTCTGCAGCTTTCTGCTCATCAAACCTGATCAATATACTGTAACAATCTTCCATTCCATCATTCCTAAAGCCTCGCACAAGACACCAAAGTTCAGAAGGAATCACAGACAACCAGTTAAACAAAGACCTCATAAATTATTGGAGAGAATACCTGACAATTCGCATTTCCAACATATGTTGAACAAATGAACCACAAAACTGACAAAAGTCTGCATATGTCATGTGATTCGGAACACTGAGCACGCAGAGGAGAGGCTTTCTTCCCACCTAAAGACAACACAACAGCACTAGATAAGTTGTTGGATTTCAATTCTAAAGGATCAACATGGATGGTGAGCATTCATCTAGTCAATTCCAACTAGCTTGGGGTTGAAGTGTTTGGTTGGCGTATCTCTCTCGTATATTGACCTTTAGTAAAATACAAAATTTGGACCTATTATTGCAATCAAAATGCCGTATACTAAGGGAAACAAGAAACAAACAATTCAAAGTTTCAGAAGCTACTAGAATTTGAACATATGATAGTTGCATACAAGTCAAGCAGCTTCATGCATAGCTATCAGGTGAATCTACAAATGTATAGTCAAAAACCTGAAAGTATCAATCAACTATTGCATCTGACAAATGTAAATTATCAGATTGAGCACAAAAACCTATCAATATCAATCAACTATTGCATCAACCTGAAAGTAGTTGGGGTTGACTACATGAATGTAAGAAATCATTTCAATTGTTATTGTATTCTGTTCTATTCTATTCGGGCCTGTATCATTCCACTACTTAATAATTTATTTTTCAGATGGAAAACAAACTAAGTTTCAACAAAATCAATCAAACAAGCCCAAAAGTCTTCCTCCAGCATAGTAACAAACGCTACAATCAGTAAAACAGAAATGGATGGATTGCGTCGAATACTTACAGGTAACTGAGACGAAAAAGAAGGTTGTTCGTTGCAGAAGAGATGCATGACACCCCTGGTTTCTTCGATGCGAGGGTTTCCAGATGAAAAATGAAACACCTTAGACATTGATGAATCCCCTGAATCCATGCCGCCTCCTATAATTTTCTCTTTTCTGTGGGGCTTCAAGTTTTGAGGATTCTAAACTTTAATTAGAACAAACTACCAACGCCTAACAACAGATATCCAGAAATTACACATCATAACAACCTAATTAAAAAAACAATTAAACCCAATTCGAAAGGAAAGAGAAAATAGGGTTTGACTGAAATTTGAATTGGAATGAAGATAGGAAACATAAGAAGCAGATTAGAGAAAGAAGAACTTACAAATGGATTTTCCGGAGAAGGAGATGGTAAGGACTAATTGCTGGAGGAAAATCTCGGGATCGGCTCTGTTTTCTTCTGGAGAGTGAACAAGAATAATAGTAATGGGAAATGGCACAATGGTTTCCTGCGTTTTAAGTAGGTTTAAAATGATCCCTTAAATATACCCATGAGCAGTTTTAGTCCTTTAAATTTACCAGAAGTGGGAATTTTTTTGTCTCCGTCAAATATTTAACAAACTTTGATTTTTAGATTTTCAGTCATGATGGGTTGCACCAAGAGTCGGCTCTTAAACCTTTTTCGTTTGCCCTAGCAATGGACGTATTGACGCGCCACATCCAAGGGGAGGTGTCATGATGCATGTTATTTGCATATGACATTGTATTGATTGATGAGACGCGAGCCGGCGTTGCCGCGAGGTTAGAAATGTGGAGGCAAACCCTGAGTCTAAAGGTTTCAAGTTGAGTAGGACTAAGCTGTAATACTTGGAGTGTAGGTTCGTTGGAATGACTCAGGAAGTGGAAGGGAAGGTGAAGATGGATTCACAAGTCATCCATAAGAGAAAATTTTTTAAGTACATTGGGTCTATTATGCATGGGGATGGGAAGATCGACAAAGATATCACATATCGTATTAGGGCGGGATGGATGAAATGGAGACTTGCTTCCGGTGTCTTGTGTGATAAGAAGGTCCCAACAAAACTCAAAGGTATAAGTTCTACAGAACGGTAGTCAGGCCGATTATGTTGTATGAGGCTGAATGTTGGCCAGTCAAGAGCTCTCATGTCCAGAAGATGAAAGTAGCAGAGATGGGATGTTGAGATGGATGTACGGGTATACAAGGTTAGATAGAATTAGGAATGAAGTTATTCGACACAAGGTGGAAGTGCCCTAATGGAGGACAAGATGCGGAAAGCGAGACTTAGATGGTTTGGACATGTGAGGAGACGGAGCACAGACGCTCCGGTCAGGAGGTGTGAGAGGTTGACATTGGAAGCCTAAGAGAGGTAGAGGTAGGCCGAAGAAGAATTAGAGTGAGGTGATTAGACAAAATATGGCGCAACTTCAGCTGATCGAGGACATGATAAGAAGGTGTGGAGGTCGAAGATTAGGGTAGTAAGGTAGTTAGTTTACTGTTCTCCCTATCATATCGGTAATATTAGCACGTACTTTAGTATTTTGTTGGTATTAGATTTCTATGACTACCTGTCATTTCTTTCATTGCGTTCTCCTGATTATTTGGTTGTTATTTATGTTGCTTTTACATGGCTTCTAACTGGCGCAATCCTTATTTTTCTCTTCTTTAATGTGGTGCTTATGCTTCTTTGAGCTGAGGGTCTATTGGAAGCAGTCTCTCTATTCATCCTCGAGTAATCAAACTACACTTTATATAGACACGGCCTTTTTTTAAACAATTTTCCTGACTCATCACACCAAGAATATTTAAAATAGACTAAGCACAAAAGTGTAACATCTTCACCTCAAGATTTGACTCACAAGTACCACGCATTATTCACAACTCATCCACTTACTCTACCATAAAGGTCACTGATATTAACTTTCCTTCATAAATCAAGTGCCCTCACACAACAAAAGAGAGTAGTTTCACACAATAAAATTTAAGAATACTTAGGAACTCAAGATAGAAAGAATTCACTCACTCTCAGAAATAACATTCATATGCCACAAAAGATGCACCATATGCTTGCCCGTAGTGTATTACTCTACTAATCGAGCCCATTCAGCCTAGGATCAAGTAAGACTTTATTTGGTTGTAATGTAGGTTGCGGGACGGGTAGATGTATTTAGATATAAGAGCGACTACACCTCCCTAAGCACTTTAATACATATACTTTAACATTAAAATCTCATACTTATGTCAAACCAAACTCTGCCTTCACATCAATATATTTTACCCCATACTTCTTTAAGCACAAGCACAATTGCATCAAGAGTCACCACTTATCAAAGAATTTTTTTTCACAACAATAGAACTTTTTTTCCTTTTCTTTCTTTTTTTATTTATTCATGTGGCTCTTACTTTTTAAAAATAGTGCACATTTCTCCTTATTTCATTAGTTCCACTCAAAAATCAAACCAACCGCCCCACACTTTAACGACTCTATTTTCATATCATCATCCATTCACAATGTGAAAAAAATGCTTGGAGTGTGGACCAATGCGCTCAACTACACAAACATTGGGATTGTCAACATCCTTAACACTAATGACACTAGGAGTCAACTAAATATGTATCCTCAATATCCTTGGTTGACTCTAGTATCTCTTCTACGACATCGGCATCCTCAAAATCTAGTTCGATTGATTGTTGGTACTCTACTCTGGCCTTATCCTCTAGCTCATCCTCGTATTTTTTTAAATCCTCTAGTATAATGGCAATTTCTGCAGCCAATTCATGCTCATATTGGCTACTATCCACAATATCAACTTGTTGCGCTTTACAAGGTTCAATTAATTTATTCGCTTGAGCCTCCAAGTTGTGCATAGTTGCCCCTTGCCTTTGTACCCGCAGTTGTATTTCATCATATTATTCCATAAGGCACTTTAGCATATCCTCGATCTTTTTCAGGTCCTCTTACTTGGGTTCTTTGATCCTATTAACTTCACAAGAAAAAGAAGAACCATCAAAGTAAGGGGTTGGGGGAAGATAAGAAATATAAGCACAACCACGAAAGTGACCATCTTGACCACCACAATATCACACACATTCCACACATAAGATTGAGTTGGTGCACATAACTCGCTCTCGGAAATATTTTGATAATTTTGCCCTGCGTGGTTTCCTCCACAATATGCATAACGAGGATCAAAAGTAGAATTACCAACATCAAAGCTCTCATAATTCCAAGATGTCATGTCTCTCAGATCAAAAATATTTTTTTTAAAAAATAATCAAATACAAGAAAAAAAAATAAAAGTTCAAACTTGCAACCTAGAAATATGTACACCTACAACTACACCGTTAGTTCCCCGACAACGGCGCCAAAATTTGATCATGCCCAACTATGTCTTATAAAAAGGACAAGGCGGTAGTTGCAAAGATAATCCGATTTACAAGTCCGGAGTCGAATCCCACAGAGAACTAAGGCTTAGCTACAGTTGTTCACTATCACCAAGAATACAAGCTTGAACAATTCCTAACTTATAGATATTAAGATTCTTGTGTTTAACTAACTACTAACAAATTAAAATAATAAATTAATACTAAAGATACTACAGGTTGTAGAAAAGATTAAGGAGGTCTAGAGTTATGATTTCCCCAATTGTCGGAATCTTTCCCGCTATGTTTTCTATAATTTCGTCTAAGTATTCTCTACTGATCATGAGCGCTCTGCGTGTTGTAATTCTCTCCCGAGTAATTACAACAATTTACTAGGCAAAGTCTCCCGAGTTACGCTAGTTGGCTTTAATTACAGCTCACTTAGATCGCACCCAAGGTTTCGTTATCCCTAATCCCACCTTTAAACCCTTGGTTATTGATTCCTCACATACGTCAGGAGTGATGTTGTTCAACAAACACCTAAATATGCACTCTTTCCTGAGTAATGCATACTAAATAAGCACAACTAATTGAAGGCCCTTCAATCAACCACAAGAATAATATAGTTGAACAAATAGAGAAAATACTACAACTCAATTATATAAAAACATAAAAGAATTTATCCTACCAAAGGTTCCATCAAAACCCTAGATAACAAATTAGCTATTCATAATAGTATGTAAAACTACAATACTAAAAGTCATAACCAACAATGAAAAATAGGAAGAGGAAGGAAAAACTTGTAGAAGAATTCTCCGCCTTGCTCCTATTGTGTTTCTGCCTCATTTGGTCGTATTTGTGGCCCAAATTTGTCCAACCTCCTCAAAATACTATTTTTCCATGTATATATACCAAGTAGGGTTGGGCCCAAACAATTACACCTTCTCCTACGCGAAAAAGGACACATATTACGGACAGGACGTGCGCGGTCGCGCTTGGACCGCGCATATCCACTTTGATTCTGCCTGACGAGCGCGGCCGCGCACTTGACGCGCAGTTTTCACCCTGTTATGTTGGAAATTTGGATAAACATAAAACATAAAAGTTGTAGCCCTTTGAGTTAGATTTCCAACCATATATTGTGGAGCCCAAATGGAGTTTTGAGTAAAACTTTATGTGCATTTTACTAGACAGTGCATAATATACCTACTCGATTCTTCATTTGTTCTAACTATCATCCGTTGACCCCCGAACACGATCCCGGCTTAATTCCTTGAGCTTTTACTCAGACTTCAAAGCTCCAAATCACTTGAATTCATTTCATAACATCTACATAGCTCAGAATCACTCCTACAAGGCATAAAACACACAATTAATGCAAGACACTAGCGATTAAAGCTCAAACTCAATTAAAGTGCAGTAAATTTGAGTGTAATAAGCGACTAAAATATGTAATTATAGCCTATCATCATAGGGGTAAGGTTGTGTACACACTACCCTCCCCAGACCCCACTATGTGGGATTATACTGGATTTTTTGTTGTTGTTGTTTGATTTTTAGATTTAATTGGAACCGTAGGATTTAACTTGAGGTGTAGTTTTTCAGTTTCTGCTATTTTGGTATATTTCTTAGTTAAATATTTGGTGGAGATAAAAATTTCAAGGTACACAAACTGATTTTACTAAATAGTATTCATAAACTAGCCTTAGTTGCAAAAAACTATTGTGCATCTTTTAATAGGTAGCTTCTAGTTTATTGTTTGATGCTCAGTTAGGAATATTCGATAATTATTAGCATAAATTAATTGAAGATCATTCACTCAGAGTCATGGATATATAATTAGTCAATGGGAATGCTCTGAGGCAGAACATTTCTCTCTTTAGTTAAGCTTGCATTTTATTATTTTCTGCGGTAAATTACTTCAGGGTGTGGCAAGACTTAAAACTTTCAACATATTTATAAAACAGTTAGTACTCTCAGGTAGATCTTTTTACTTTCTCCCTCTTAATTTGATTATTATTAACATTCTGTTAGCCTGGGAAAAAGGGGTCAAAGTAGCATAGATGATGCATTATGCATAGTTCTCAAAAAGTAAATATTTGAGAAGGTAAATGA